AGTACTTTTTGAAATTCCTAGCAGTATAATGTGAAGTGCTAAATAAAATAAAAACATCTTGATCTGGGCAGGGGGTTGGATTTTGTTCTCTCTCTCTGTCAGTTAACTAACTGATCTGTGTTTCACAAAGAATATTCACCTTATCATTTCATTAACAAACGTGCTCTTAGCAAATCCCCCTTTCTTTATTGTGAGTGTGGTATAAGCACTTTTGTAGGTTAAACTTACAATTAATTTTAAAGAATGTAATAATTTGGTTGCCAGCTTAATATCTAATAAGCCATTTTGACCTTACTGAAGTTTGACTATACTTAAGAAACAATTTTAAAAAATATTTTGTGTGCACATTTGCCTGAGTAAGCGACTCGGGTGCTCTAGAACTGGAGTTACAGACAGTTGTGAGCTGCCACATGAATTAAAACCAGGTCCTCTAGAAGAGCAATCATGTACTCTCAACTGCTGAGCCATCTCTCCAGACTCAAACACCACCACCTCCCTCCCCCCCCCCTTTTAACAGAGTTTTTCTACATAGCACTATAATAATAATAATAATAATAATAATAATAATAATAATTCTTGTTGTGCTGGGCAGTGGTGGCATACACACTTAATCCCAGCACCCAGGAGGCAAAGGCAGGAACTCTTGACTTGAGTGTGAGGCCAGCCTGGTCTACAGCGTGAGTTCCCAGACACCCAGAGCTACACAGAAAAGCCTGTTCTCCAAAACTCAAACTAAAAAAAAAACTTTTCATGGTGTCAGTGACAGAGCTTAGTAGTTAAGTGTTTTGTTCAAGTCTGGATGACTGAGTTCAGTCCCCAGAATATATGGAAATGTAGGAGAGAAATGACTCCACAAAGTTTTCTTCTGACCACCAGACAAGTGACGTAGCATATACATATATACACAGTAAGAATTTTTCCAAAAATTCATTGTCCAAGGTTCCTGAGATTCTGGGAGCTTAAGTATTTATATTTAGTAAATTTGATACAGTGACCGTGAAAAGCAGCTTGTTTTTAGTTCCAGCAAGTTGATGTGATATTTCTGACATTTAATGCAGTGACCTTCTAGTGACTTTCTGAGGTGTGGGTGTTTAAATGTAACATTTTACTCTTGTTGGCTGTGTTTAAGTTCTAGTGCTTCCCATAGTGGGCAATCTAGGCATTGAACATTTCCATCATCATAGAAACTTCTGGTAGATGTTACAACTGTAGGCACTTCAATGAAGAATTTGACTGTTAATTTCTCTTTGTAGGAAACGAGACACCATGCAGAATATTGTACAGATTTTGGAGTCAGTCCATTTGAAATGGGAATTGTTTCAGAGCTGGACAGACTTTTCAAGGCTCCATCTTTCCAATAAGTTGGCCATTTTTGGAATTGGCTATAACACCCGCTGGAAAGAAGACATCCGTTACCACTATGCTGAGATCAGCTCACAGGTGCCCCTTGGCAAGCGTCTCCGGGAGTACTTCAACTCTGAGAAGCCTGAGGGGCGGATAATTATGACCCGAGTGCAAAAAATGAACTGGAAGAACGTTTACTACAAATTTTTAGAGATCACCATCAGTGAAGCTAGGTGCCTAGAGCTGCACATGGAAATTGACTGGATACCCATTGCCCACTCCAAGCCAACTGGTGGGAATGTTGTTCAGTATTTACTGCCAGGAGGGATTCCAAAAAGTCCAGGTCTTTATGCCATTGGCTATGAAGAATGCATTGAGAGGCCTCTTTCACCAGATGTGGAGCGCCAGGCCCTGGACCCAGGAAAAGAGGGCCGGGTTGGCTTGGAAACCCTCTCAGCACAAGCCTCATTACAGGTGGAAGTAGAGCCCACCCGGATCGTCTACTGCTACCTCGGTATTGCTGAGGTCAGGACTCTGCAGCAGTGCTTGTTTTTACATTTCCAAGCAAATACCAAAACCTTCAGTAAAGATTGGGTTGGCATTAATGGGTTTTTGTCTCAGAACTGTATTGTGGATCCTGGAGTTTCCCCTAAATCCATCTATATCAAATTTGTAGAAGTAGAGAGGGATTTTCTTTCCGCTGGCTCATTAGTTGAGTGCCTGGAAAAAGCCATCGGATACCCCTTAAAATTTAACAACTGAGTGTCATCCTTCATAAGGATTTGGGCGTGTGCATTCTTTCCCTAGTTCCGTTACCCATACTACCCCACATCCAGATGCTGCCATCAGACTCTTCATGGGAACTCTTTCCACGATGAGACCAATGCAACCTCTAAAGAATCATACTAGACTCTGGGCAGAAAAAGCAGACCTCACCTGAATGCTCATTTTGAGCAAGCAGGTCTTGCATGGTGGGTCCGTTCTTTTTTAAAAAAAGGTAACATCGATTTTTAAATGGATTTTAGAGCCCTGATATAAACAAATGTAGGTACATTCCATATTGGACAAAACTTATACTTTGAGTTTCATATGAAATTGAAAATTGTATTTTTTTCACGTTTCATTTTTACACATCTCTATAAGTATTATTTACAACCTTGAATAAATAAGCAATAGATAATGGCAAGTAAATCTTGAGTCACAGTAAATAAGGCTGTTTTTCAATATTACCTTTAGCTACTATTGTATATAATTTAGAGTTTCATTTTTTCACCAACCAAGTGTTTTGCTATTTCCAATCAGTGTTGCCTGCAAAGACTTTTGTTTATGTGATGTACCAACTTTTATGGTTGTGTTGCCATTTAAATTAAAAAAAAAAAAAAAATTAAAGGAATTCCTGACCTTTTTGGTGTGCTGCTGTTTGAGCTTTTGTACCAGAGTGTGGCTGCAGTGATTGTGGGGATTATGTCTTATGTCCGGCTTTGCTGTAAGAGTGAACAAATGAAGGCTAGGGTGGGGCTCAGTACTAGTGCTCATCTAGAGTATACAAGGCCCTGGGTTCAATCCCCAATACTGGAAAGAAAAGAATGACCTGACAAAACCAAACAAGAAATGCTCTATCTTCTCTCTATGTTAACAATGACCATAGCTGTTTCTTGTTAGAGTTCCAGAGGTCATTAGAAACCACGCACTGTATCTTCTACTAGAAAATGACTGCAGTGATATTTCTTCAGACTTTAGGAGTATAAGTATGCAAGGCACTTTGACTCCATCTTTTTTACTTAGTAATTGGATTAAGTTTCCTAAGTACTGAAAGGACAGACTTGATGCCACCTAGCTGTGTCTAAAAAAATAAAGGGAGGAACCAATAGAAACACGATATTAATGCCATGAGAGAAATTGGAAGGTGTCAGTCCATTAGGCAATGACTCAGGCACAGACCTTTTCCGAGATTTCAGTGGGTCAAGCACCACTCCATTGGGAGGCTAGTACACTTGACTGAGAACATCCTATAGCAGTCAAGGGTCACTTGGTCTTATGGCAAGAACTTGCTCCTTTGGTTATTTGTCTTTAATGGTACCTTAACATCTCTCAGGCGTTTCACTTTAAATGGGCAGCAAACCCAGATGAGAACTTAAGTCCCTGATTGTCTGTACTGTTGGAAATAAAATCAAATGCCAGGAGGTGGTGGTACACACCTTTAGTTCAAGCAGCCAGATCTCTATGAGTTCCAGGACAGCCAAGGCTACACAGAGAAACCTTGTCTCAAAAACTAAAAGTAAAATGAAATTGGATATTAAAAAATATTTCCTACAACCCACAAAGTGAAGTCAAATCGGCGCCCCCCCACCTTATTTTGATACCATTTGGCTAATTGATGCTTATATATTTTTCTACTGATATAGAACACTTCTAGCCACTGGCATGGTTAATGTTATTTGAGTGTGGGCTTATGGAGTTGCCTTTTTTCCTGATGCAAGCTGCTGTAAATAGGTGCCACTTGAGGGGGAACATAAATACCCTGAGACTGTCAGTGCAGCACCTGCTCAGTGTGCAGTGTGTGTGGAGGTGGGGGCCTTGGGAGATTCTTGAGTTTAAGGCTAAGATGCACTGATGCTGGAACAGCAATAAATCTCAAAATTACCAGTGCCAAACCGGAGGAACAAACATCACCAGAAATAATATCTCCAATATAGCCACTGACCAACCCAGAACTAAAATTAATAATACTGAATATCTGTCTATCATCTATCCCCTTCCTATCTCTATCTATCTATATCATCTATACCCTTCCTATATCTATCTATCCATCCATCTATCTATCTATCATCTATCCCCTTCCTTGGCTAGTAGGTACTAGATGAGGCAGAATAGTTTAGGGACATTTGGTGAGGACTTCCTTTACCTGCATAATATTACTATATTAGACTCCTCCTGTGATCAAGATGGAGGGCAAAGATGAGATCAAACCTGAATTTCCATTTGTTTTGAGATGGATAGAAGATCAAGAAAGTGGACAAAACTGAGCACTGGGAATGGAGGTTTGTCAGGACAGTGACTGACAGCCTGTTATCTTTTCTAGACTGCTCTGGTCAAGCAGATAGGATATTCTAGGAAAGATAACAGGCTATATGGTAACTGAGCATTGCTAAAACAAGTGGACTAATTAAGACCTTAAGTATGTTTTTTTATCTGATCCAGGCAGGATGGAAGCCCTTTATTCAAATGTTTTTCAAAGACTTAGAATTCCTTTTTTTGGTTGTTTTTGTTTTGTTTTCCAAGACAGGGTTTCTCTGTATTGTTTTGGAGCCTGTCCTGAAACGAACTCTTGTAGACCAGGCTGAACTCAAACTCACAGAGATCTGCCTGCCTCTGCCTCTGCTGGGATTAATGGCGTGTGCCACCCATGCCATTTTTTAAAAACATGTATTAGTGCTTTGCTTGCATGTATGTATATGTACCGCATGTGTACTTGGAGGTCAGAATAGAGCATCAGATCCCCTAGTATTGGGGTTCAAGATAGTTGTAAACCGTATGGATGCTGGGAATCAAACCTTTGTCCTCTGCCCAATCTATTTCTCCAGCCCAGATTGTAAATTCTTGGGAAGATCTGAGATGCAGTGTGTTTGAGAGAAACCTATGAAGTTGTGAACTAGGCTTGCACACATCAAATGTATATGTAAGCAGTTCTTAGCACTGGTGTGTGTTGACATCGAGTTTTGCACAACAAAAAAGCTGTCTGCCCTAAAAAGTGAGTCAGAGCTTGTGGGGTGTAACAGAGCTTCCTTGCTCATGTCTTGGCTTCCTCTGGGGTCAGAAATTGTTGGGATAGAAGATGGTCAGGAAAATTCCTTTTGGTAAAAGCCTGCGAAGACTACGTCTGTGTCACATGGAGACAGTCACTCCCATCAGACCCTTGTGGTATTCCTTTCCCCCGAGGTAAGCTGTTTGGAAGCAGCTTCTGGACCCGGATGGGCACACCTGAGTCATCAGATGCGTCAGTGTCACTGGGCTAGGGCCAGGTCTTTGTACTCCCTTTTCCAGGGAGGAGTCATTTGGAGTGACAGCTCTGGTCTAGAAACACATGAGGACTTTTTGCAAGTGGAGTTTTATGGGGCTGGAGAGATGGCTCGGAGGCTAAGATCACTTGATTTTCTTTCAGAGAGCGCAGGGGTTTGAACACTCAAATGGCAGCTCAAAACAGACTAAGACTCCAGCCCCAGGGGATTCAACACCTTCTGGCACTGGGCACATGTGGTGCACAGACAACACATGCAGGCAAAAATACCCATACACATTTTTAAAAAGTACTTATAATATTTTGAAATCTAGAAAAAAATAAAAATTTAGTAGATCAGGAAAACCAAACCAGCCCACCACCTCTTTGACAGTCCCAAAGTTTGAAAGTGTCTGCACTTGGTTGAGCTGCCAAGAGGTAGATTCCAGAAATGTCAGGAGCAGTCTAGTGTTTGTGCAGGCATTTCATAGAGCCACTGCATGACGGGTATTTGAAGAGGAGCCAGGCTGGTGCACTGGGAAGAAGCTACAGGTAGGAAAAACCATTGCGCAATGCTGGAGCCCTGGAGTGTGTGCAGCTGAGGAGGACCGGCTGCCTCAACTACCTGACAACCGGTTCCCTCACAACAGGCCACACCAGGCACCCGTGGTTATGCCTCCTGCTTTCTGTAACCTTTGTTCAGTGGCCAAGCTCTACCCAAATAATTTGGAGCATTTTCTTAAGTAATTTCTTGGCTGTTGGGCAAAGGCAACCTATGTGTGTTCTGCTGAAGCAGCCTCTACCATCAGAGGGCAGAGGGGTGCCTCCCCCGAATGGCGTGGGGTTGAAATTAAATTCACAGAGGAACGATCTAGTCCTGGGAATTAAAGGATCAGAGCTGACTTAAGCCTTTCCCTGCAAGGATGGGCAGCAACGAAGACACCAGCGGCTGTACAGAAGGAAAGGAAATGTATTTCCAGTTCCCCTGCAGCTGCCCCTGCTCCCCAGGCAGCATTAAGCCTAGGAGCAGCTCATGGATGAGAAGCTCAGGACAGTCGCCTTAGTTTCCTGCTTTGTTTCCTTGTACCAGTCTTCCTTGTCTGCTGCAATGAGGCTAAGGGCCGGTACTACCTCGGGCCTCAGTTTCTGGAAGCCCTCCTTAGAGAACAGGCTTTCTCGCCCTAGAAGGAAAGCCTGTGGTATCGAGCTATCTTGGACTTCCTCGCCTGAAGCTTCAAGCCTGGGCCGGGCTGAGAGGGCACTGGGCGAAAGTTCGAATCCCCACCTCGGGCGTCTGCGCCTGGCCCACCAGATCTCACACTCCACACACCACATGGCTCTTCCTCCGAGAAGGCCGCCCTGCTGAGTCTGAGGACGCGGCACCCCAGGCTAGGAGCGGGCCTTTCCGGCCACAGCTGCTGGCCTTTTAGTGTCGGGTGAGGGTGGCTGCTAGACTTAGGTTAGTCCTCCATTCCTCCTTTATCACCTCAATGCCCGACGCCTGCGCGGGAGAGTGTGCATGATTCCAGGGTTGGTTCCTGGGATACCACGACCTCGCCAACCCCGGTGTGAAGAGTAAACTGGTTGAGGCAGAGCGATCCAGCTATCCGAGCTGAGCCGGAGGAGGGCTCTCCTCCCCCCGCTGCGGGTCACTAGAGCGCCACGCCCGACGGGACGGTGACCTCTCCACCCCTTTGAATGCCCCGCCCCTGTCCAGTTGGTCCCCACCCCACCTCTCCATCCGCACACCCGCAGACTTGGGCTGGAGCCACCCTTGTAATAGCCTGGTGCCTGTGCACAATCGAGTTGCCGCTGCTCGCCATAGCACCTGTAGACAGCGTGTGCCCTAGCTGTCCTGAGTACTCGGTGCCAAGGAGGACCATGATTATTCCGGCTGGACTCCTGGAGACCAGCTTGCTGCGGGTTTTGTTCCTGGGACTGAGTACCTTCGGTGAGTCAAACCTCGGGCCTGGAGGTCTTTGATCAGATAGATTCGATCCTAGATCCTAGGGAGGACTTTGGGAAGTGGTTGTGATGTGATTTTTGCTTGACATTCTTGTCTTTCTTCATCACCCTCCACTTCGGAGTGTCCCTGGTTGGTGCTATGTTTTCTCCCTTCTATGGCCAGAACAACTCCCAGCTTTGAAGTGGGGGTGTGGTGCGGTATTGGGAAGGGGGGAATAAAGATATCTCCAGGCAAGAACTCTGGGATGAGTTATGGGAGCTATTTTGTCTACTCACCACCCCCACTCATCACAGCTGGATAAGCTGAGGCACTAGATGAGACAGTAACTAAAGAGCTTAAGGACTTAATTCCAGTGTACCCACACACACACACACACAACACACATTCAAGCTGATAAGAAAGATCCCTGGGGGAATGTCTCTGGTCCCCA